TAATTTTGTTGGAAACTCAAAATAATTGCTAGAATATTAAAACATTTTATAGCAATGCTTATCATTTTTAATATTCCAACAAAATTTTTGATGATTCAACAAGAATTAATTTTCAGATCTATATTCGGCAAAATTTTTAGACCTTTCAACAAAATCGTTCTTTCCGTGCAAAAATATGACAAGAATAGCTGTCTCTCGTGTGAAAGAAGAAGAGAAATATGGATTTATCTAAATTATACAACCGGCATAGTGACTAAGGGCGTCGTATGAGTGCATAATAGCTATCACGAATATGCAGTCGGTGCATTTTTTAGAGATAAAGTAGAACAGACGCAGGCGTTTCTGACACACGCGATGCAATAGTCGGATTTTCAGAATGTATTTTACACATTTTTTGAGTACCGCACCGTATTTAATGCGCACTTCCCCCGTACTATGCTTAAATCTCTCTGAGATAAAGCCGATAGGAATATAATCAAGCTTCAGATTTCGCGAAATCTGATTCGCCGATGGCAAATTGCGCTTTTAACCTCGCGATATCTCAGAATTATTTGCTGACATTTCCCTGCCATTCCTGTTACTACATTCTAATCAGCTCCATTTGGACGTTAACTCTCCAAAAGATACTATCAGACTGATAGACGTTAATGCACCCAATTGGCAGCCTGCCATTAAACGGAAAACGGTTCGTCTGGTAGATCTCGTCTCGATGATATTTTAGAAGTGGATATATATATGCCGAATTTGAGGTCGTCACGCTCTTTCACGGTATCGTTACATCATTAACTAATATAAAAATTGGATTTATTATTGGCGGAGAAATCGTGTCCCCGGTTGATTACAAAGTTATTAATCACTGTAATAAGTAATAACTGACTCCCGTCTAGACAGAATTCAATGAATGAGCGGAATTAAGACTCGATGGACAAAAATGTCGAAAGTTATCGCTGAATAATTTTTCCACTACGGCTTGATTAATTCTTCATTAATTCCAAGTTACGAGCGCCATAAATAATAATACACCTTTGCATGTATTACTTTGCGCCTCATATTTCTTTCTGCATAATTCCGCGTCATTTAATAGCACTTGAGAAAGTAACAATAACTCGTTAGTTCTAGTTTCGATATTCACAGAATATCCTCATTGCTGATAAAGTGCTCTCGGCATTGAAGCGGTCTTGAAATCTTCTCTTTACTCAGTTGCAAAGTTACTATGTGCTTTTATATATATATACACTTCTACGCTCCGTTTTACGATAGTGATATTGAGTGCAGTGTGTTAAGGCACTTCAGGCCTTTGTTGACGCGCAGTTTCTCAAACATTTCGCGAATAGTCGACGCAGTTACGCTGAGTTTGTTCAACAATTCCTATATATCGTTGACTCGTAATTATCGCACGTTCTAGGCTTGCTAATTTCATACATCCTTGAGTCTTACGACGTTTGGTGGTTTATTATGCAAAAAACGTGAACAGAAATCATTAAATCGCGCCGCCGTTCGTATATACGCCGCGTACATAGATTCCACTTATTTCGAAATCGAGGCAAACGCAGATATCAAAGGAATGCAGACTCAAGAATGTCGTAGACGATAGATGTAGAAATTTTTTTTTTTTGCATAAAACGTAGACGACAGAAAATCTTTGACACGACACAAATAACTATTATACATGCGAATCGCCTACGCGATGTGTACTTTTATACGAGAAATCTTTTCACGAAAACGCGTCCCACGCGGGTGATTTGTAAAATAAGCAGAACATGCGGAAGCGCGAATAGTCGCGCGGCTAACTCCGTGAATAATCTGCGCGAAGAAGCTTGGCCTCGCTTAGGACGGAAATCGGGGTAAGCCAGACGGATTCCCCGTATGACAGACCCGTGTGCGCTCCTCGGGATCGGGAAAAGGATCGCGCGGTAGCGTCTGGCGCGATAGGGGAGGCGCGAGAGAATTCCGCTCGTAAGCTCGGAGCGCGCGAAGGTACGCGCCGAGCGGAATGGAAGCGGCGGCTTCAGTCGGCCGCGAACCTCCGCCGAAGAACGGTCCCCCATCGTCCGGATCGACGGACAGTCTGGGATCTGTACCTATCCGCGACCCGCGACAGAGGTATCTTCGATCTCGAGGAAAGAGGGACTTAGGGGTGCGAAATCGGATCGGCCGATCTTTCTTCTTTTTTCTTCATCCCCCTCCCCTGCGCGACTCCGCGGATCTACGAGACGACGATTACCAATGTGTGAAATCGGAAGCGAGGCGGGGTTCAAGGAACGAGAATGAGGACGATTCTGCATGCGTATTGCGACTTCTGTATCGAGCACCTCCTCGGCGAATAAACCGACGTGTGGAGTAGACATGTGGAAGTGCTGGGCCCTGTTTCTGTGCGTCGCAGGTAATTAATTTAAAGTGCGCAAGGTGAATTAAGCAGATCGCGGACGATCTCAATGAGGAGGACGATCCGGAGTGAGTGGGTAAACACGGTGAGAGTCCAGCGCGCGCGCGATTAATCCGAAGAAATAGGTAACGAGAAAAAGTAGTCATATATTTTTGAGACGTGAGAAATTGTTATTAAAAGTTTGTATATACAAAAAAGTAATATACAAAAGTATTGTATTATAAAAAAAAAGTACACGTGCGCAGAGTGGTAATTTACGATGGACACCATATTCAGGGATCGGTATTGTATAGAAACAACGAAATTACAGTAATAAATGGTCGTTTAATGGGAGAGTATCAGGATGGCTTCCTCCTACTATTATGATTCCCATCGTAATAACACAATTCGGTATTATTATATAATCAACCTGTATTTAACCCCGCGGTTAATCTATTGCCCTACCTACTGCAATTTTGCTTGTTGTCGAAATATAGGCAATATCAATTAAAGATAATCTAAAAGCAGTGCTTGAATTAATCTATTATAATTTCACAAAAAATTTTTCGGTCAAACTCGATCATTATTTATTTTTTATTTATTAGTTAATATAAATTAACAGCTAACTGGAATATTTTATTTTGCAAGTTTAGAAATATCAAATATAAAAAAATTCTTGATTATGTTTAGGATAATCGAGACGTAATCGTGAATAAATATCTTGAGACACCATTGAGTCGTTCGTACCTATAATATTAGCAGTTACGCGCTTTGCTAATTGGCAGCCTAATGACACTTACAATATAGATTGGTAGTTACGAAAACACAACGTATAATTGTTATTTGCACGAATTTAAAAATTGTGTGATAATAGTACGACCAATTTTCAATAATTTTAAATAAAAAATTATAAATGTAGCAGAATATATAAATATATATAAAATATAAAATAAATGAAAGTAGCTTGGCGAAGTCTTATATAGACCTAAGCTAACACTATGCAAAAAATGTTCCTTATTCTGAGAGAAGTGCTTTGATTATTAATCCTGTTTAATCTGACGTTGTTTTATTCATATTTTTCTTGAGAAAGCTGACTTTAACGTCTTGCTAGAGTAAAGTTCAATAAAAGCTTAAGGCCTGCCTCAAAAGAAATGCGAGCTGCATACTTTATATGAGACGTACATGTGAAATTTCTGCATGTAAGATTAAACGCTTGCTTGCAGGTGAAACGTTACGCAGACAGTTTCGGGACGCGCATATTTTACCGTGCATTTTCTGATGGAAACCGCGAATAAATTAACGATCGGAACACGTGTCCTAGTCCAACAGGCATTTCATGACACAGACGTAGCGATCTATTTTCGATCGAAGCGAGAACGATACCAGCGGAACGATACCAACAAATCGGATCTGCGGCGAGAATAGCTTTGATCACAACAAAATCGTAAAATGTTTACAGTCGTACGATGCTCAGAAATTAAAAATTAGTCACTGGTATAATTATTACAGAGAAATTGTGTGCCATTGATCGTACAATTCGGGAGATAAAGCTTTATTGCAGAATAAATATTAAATGATTTAATTATTCAACAATTAATTACAGTCAAACGACCGCCCAGTCCGTACGATTTACGACGAATAAAATTTTAATTCACCTGGAGCCGATTAACTTCCTTTGACAACGTGGTGAATAAAAATCAAAGGTTAATTGACCAATTACCGATAATAGCAGTCCGTTCGCGAAAGTAAAGATGATAAATTCTGGAAATATCAGAAGAATGTCCACCCAAGCGACCGAGATTTAGCCTTGTGCCATAAACGCGTTGTATGAATGAAAGTGCAAGTTGTGGGCAGGCGTACACCATAAATATAATTTCCCGTCGCGACTATCGATATCAGTCGATTAGACGAGCTTGAAAATATCGGATGACTCTCCGCGAGACCTCTCTTTGAAGATTGCAACACAATCGCGCAAAGCTATCGATAATGGGTGCTGCAAACGAGAATTATCAACTTCAACTACAATTTTAATTTCAAGTAAAGTTCTAAAGCTATAACTTCAGCGCATGTTAGATACTTATGCGAGTTTATCGACTATGACCCGATGATATTTGCAATTCGTAACTACGTTGACAATATTCACATGTTTGTGCAATACATCGCTAACAAAAAAGAAGTTATATCTTTCGTATTTCACATGTGCTTTCGTGTGACCTATATTTTTCTTTAATGAGAATAATAATCATTTTAGGAATTAATAATGCGTGGCAATTCTTAAAAACAATTACGTATAATTGTGTATTTATGCGATTAACAATATAGAAAAAATAGTTTCGCGTGACTTCCTATACGGCTGAATATTTATGTGAATAAGGCGCCGCTACTTCCACGGTATTTTCTGCAGCTAACGCAAAAGTTATTTCGGTATCAGGCAGCAGTTTGCACACCTGTGATAAGGAGAGGCATATGTTACAGTAAGAAGGCGTGTAAATCAAGAAAAAAAAAGTGTATTATTTCCAACACTCATAAATATGACGTTTCCAAGAAAACCAATTTTGACGAAACGGTTTTTATAAATTTAAAATTTTTAATGAAAGAAACATTAGAATGCAGAAAATTCAATTTCATTATACTCGTATCAAATAATGTTTTGCAAAAACTGGGGAAACTAGGATGAATTTTCACGTTAGAGATTTAAATACATTCTCTCGGTATACCTGAATTTCCTGCCAAAATAAAATATGCAACATACGCGCTGACCATCTCGTTTGTTATGTTTCGCATTTTAAACCAAGTCGTATATCGCGGCGTCGTATATAAAGCTGCAACAAACTTTAGCATAGTTTGTAAATTCACGTGCAAGCGTAGAAAATTCCGGCGATGAGGGGATACTTCGCCGGAATTTTAGAACGGATTTTATAATGTTCTCAAGTACGAAAAAAAAACTTTTTATCTCACAATTCTCTTTACCATGTTTAACCACGACCGAAGCTCTCCTCCGCGCAATTATAGAGCTCATTCAAAATCAGTACATGCGCAGTACTGCACTTTCAGTCGATGACTAACTAAAATCGATCGAGCACTATAATTAAGAGGCGTGGAATTGTGGACAGTGCTACTGGTTTTTATTGTTCGTGGAAACCAGTTTCTCTCGTAGCGTAGAATTCTGACGTGCGTAAATATGCGTTCGAACGCTTCGAATAGACTTTCAGTGCAATCGCTAGGTTTTAACGTGCGCTCCGGGCATTAACTAACCGATTAACTATCTGACCCATTTACATCTGCGGTCTATATATCATATACTTGTGTATGTACATATGTATCGTATGGCTTAAAATCAAAACTCTACCCATCAGCAATTAGATGTCAATTTAGATATAATGTTACATACAAGCAAAATCTAAACTATATTTAGAGTAAAACAGCCTGTATTGTTTGCACTTCTTACTAGCAATCTCAATGATGATTTTGTCAAAGAAAAGTGTATATATGAAATAATGTTTTAAAAGAACAAAAAATATTGAATTGAACGCCATGCATTTGATCTCGATTAAGTATTTTTATTTTAGAGTTTTCTTTCCGAGTGTTTTGTAATCTCACGAATGCCTATTTCTTTTCTTGCTTATTACGAAGATATTAAAAAAAAAGAGAGAAAAAAAGAACGCGCAGCTAAAGTTGCTTTCCAATTCATTAACCTCGCGTCATTTGTTATCGAGGTCAAAATATGATATCGTGATATTAAAGCGATTACGTTATGCCGATTTAAGTAGAGTTAACGGAGGCCTAATATCCCCTTTCCACTTACTTCAATTTGTTTACCTCATCGATTTACACGCGCTAGAGAGATTGCGAATCGGACACGAGCTTCGATAAAAGCGCTCGATTCTTCCAACGCGTAATTGTCGTGCGAACGAGAATGTGTTTTCCATATTGGAGGCCTGCGGGCGGAAAGGTTAAATCTCTGGTATTTATTAATAGTCATACGATACTGGTTGTGTATCATAAATGGAATTTACAGTGACATGCGCGCGCCACGAGGTTCATCTACGCGACGATGACTCACGATGATGGATCTTTGAGTAATTAATTGGACAAATACGACAAACAATCATTGCCAACGTATCGTTGCTGCACCGCTTATAATGTGTACTTTCGTAATAGCTACATTAATTTACGATAAACGTTGGCGCGCACACGTACACACACACACCTGTTGGACAAATCCTTCCGCTACAATCTTTCGCGAGATTATTAAGTCGCAAGTTGCATGTCCTTTCTTGAAATTGTTAAACCTTCCCGGATACGAAAATCAAAAGCTCTTCAATTGTTTGTATTATCTTTGTTTAAGGCGCTTTAATCTGACATTTCAATTACAGATAACAGTACCTATTGTATGCGCACATCAATATCACGTATCGTTATCGTAGAAAGTTGCTCTATTTATGCCGGTCTGTTTCATTCGGAGAGCCTGGCACGCCCTAAAAATTTCAATCGATCGAACCAATCGAATCTGCCGCGGGCAGATCGAAATTGTAACGAACAAAAAAATTCGTGTTTTTTTCTTCCTCAACAAAACCGAGCCATCGATTTAATGTGTCTCTTTCTGTTGTTTCTTGTCAGATAAGTAAAGTCTACAGTATCGCGTAAACATACACCTGAGACGAATACATATGAGTACAAAGATAAAACCATGATTTATAAGTTTACCGCGGTAGATTACAGAAGTCACACGATGTGAAACGCGCGGGCGTGTCCTCAAAATAGGACATTTACATTTTAATAATAAACCATATATGTTGCAAACCTTGATGTCATACAGAGAGGGTGGAGGGTTAAATAGTCTATTTTACGAGACAATGCTGAATAATTTAATGCTCGGGATATTATATCCCGGCTGTGCAATGGTGCGGCGCCTAGTCACGCGTGAACCACAGACGACGTATTACATAATGCTTAAATTCCGCTCAAGGCCACGGAACAAAAATGTATTCACTCGGAACGCATCAATTATGCGCATAAATTATACGAGTAAAGGGTAAAAAAATATGCATTTCAAAATACCGAGATTTATCAGAACATAAAATTCACGTTCAAAATAGAACCTGTTGAAATAGAGTGTAACGCACCTTTGTGAAGTTAGCACATCCCGTTTTCTCATTTACAAATATAATTTACAAAGAGTTGTGACGCTCAAGATGACGCTCTTCCCTTCAAAGAATTCTGAAGTGTCTGATATGCTTTGAAAAGGATTTCTGGCAATCGATATAAAAAGAATAGGAATCGTAAATGTAGTGTGCGTCAACTTGTCATCTTTATACGAAAAATTGGTCATAACTTTTTTTTTCTTCAATTAGAAATAATTGGAGACATATAAAAAATATTGAAATTATACAAAGTTTCTCTATCCTCTATAAGATTTTTAAGATATATATTTCCGAATACTCCGAAAATATGAAACTTTTGCAATTTGCCAAGATATGATGAGATTGTACTTATTTCTTTTTTTTCTTTTAGGTTTATCCTCGGCCGTTTTGGAGTCGCCAAACTTTGACATTAGTCCTCTGGCTAATCAGTCTATAATACTGCGACAGCATGAACCCGTGAGACGATTCGCGTGTCCCGTGGGATTCTTTCGATTGAAACGATTCTGTTATTATCTGAGCGCCGGCACGGCATCATGGAGAGATGCGTACTTTCACTGCAAGGACAGAAATGCCACTCTGGCAATATTGGACAGAAATGGAAAGGACAAGATGCTGAGGAAGTATCTGATGGGGGAGCAGTTTAGTGAGTATAAGCTATTTCGTCTGAACTATTTACATCGTTCGAATTTAGCGCATGTAAACGACGTCTCTTTCGTTTCATAATCAAATAAACGACTTAGAACACGAGAAAAGGTTTTATTGAAACTGTGAAAGAAAAATTCGAATAATTATTATATATCGATAATTTTGTCTAAATCTACAAATCTCAATAGCGAAATTGGAGCGATGGATCGGCGGGATCTTCAACTGGCAACAGATGGCCTGGGAGTGGGGTGTAACAGGTGAAAAGATGGTTTTCCAAAGTTTCGGGAAAATGGAACTCGGTGGGAGATCCAAGAAGTACGCGTGGCATTGCATCATAATGGATCCCACGTTGAAATATAAGTGGAGTGCAAGGAGTTGTATGGAACGGAAGCATTACGTATGCGAAGTGCCCGCCGGTCGTTTAGGTGAGAAACGCATTCGAGACATCAACAGCAGAGAAAGCTCTCGTACATATATTACAACTTTACTGATATAAATGTAACTGAATTTATCCATGATATTTTTGCCACCCTTTCAGCCAGGAGACGCAAAAAGTCGCAAGATCCCTTCGAGCCGCAAAACCAAAGATTAAAGCCCAGACGGAAGGGCAAGAAGTACTCGGACGAGCAGAGGAAACAGGGCGAAAAGAAGAAGAATCGGTCGAATATGAGAAGAAATTGGTTGAATCGAGAAGAAAATCAACAATGGGCCCATGGCATCAAACTGGGATCACGACCACCTTCTAAGTACTAATACCATCATATTAAACTGAATTCAATATAAAATTATTAAGAAATTTTTAAGAATATATTTTATATTAAATTAAAAATAAGTTTATAAAGATAAGATACATTTTTTAATTCTTAAGAAATTTGGAATCACTACCATACAATTTTTAAGAATAAATTTTATATTAAATAAAAAATAAGTTTATAAGTATAAGATACATTTAAAAAATTTTTTAAAAATAGCCTAGAATAACTAGAATATCTAGTAACTCGAATTTCCTACAACTAACAATCTTTTCGAAATAATTTTTGACAGTGTGAAGATGATGCAGCCCAGAGAGCACACGCGGCATCGTGCGAACAGAACCCGTTTGCAACCAAGTGCGCCGAGGGTTGCCCAAGTAGTGCCCCGAGGACGGGAGTACGGCGCTTTTCTAGCCAACGGTTACAATGGCTACCAGGCCCAGAATTTAGCGGATATAAACGACGTTCTCTCGTTTCATAATAAAATAAACGACTTAGCGCGAGAGGAGGTTTTGTTGAAGCCGTAAAAGAAAAACTCGAATAATTATATCAATAATTAATTATAATTACAGCCTTACTACTGCTCTGTTACAATAATATAAGCAGCTAAGAGGAAAACTATTCGAAAGTCTTTTTTTTAACTTTTACTACAACGACACAGTACTGAACTGCCAACATTATTTTACTACAACACATATATATTATTTATGGCTGTTATTGTTGTATTAATTTTGTAGGATCGTGAAAAATTATTGCGATTAAAATTAACCTCGAAATAAATTCCTTGAGGTTCTTCTGAATATTCAAAGTTTGTGAATGTAAATTCTACTGATGTACTCTAATTAATGATGATCCGAGTATTGTAGCCATTCAATACTGTTACTGACATCTAAATATTCTCTGTGTACTTATCTATATCGTAATATCACTACAGAAAATTAATCATCGTCTCTCTATATCTGTCTTCCTCTGGTTCAGTGATTATTTTGCTGAGCAATGTCTCGCATAATTAATTAATTGTAACGCGTAAGTAATCCGTAATAATGTAAGTGATAAAAGAATTTCACATTCGACGCTTGCCATTGTTTCGCGCGGCCAGATCGCGAATGAAGTAAGCAATTATGAGCTATCACTCAATAATTAATTAAATTATACTAGCGATATTCATTTCATGCTAATCATAGTGCGTAGTTTTTATAAATGAATTGCAGTCAGTCAGTCAAAAAGCAAGACAAAACTGTTTTATTAAGTATCTTAATTTTTTTGATCCACTCTTGTGTTCGTTATTTTTTTTTTCATTGCTTCGTCTGTAAATATATCAATATAGGACCATCAAAATATACTTTCTGTATTTAACGATATACAATAAAGTACTGATACACCAATTTTCACAGTGCGATTATTATCGGCAATATTAAAAGGGAATTGAGGACGGATTCACATATTAGTTACTCAAAAAAAATATTCTGTTTTTTAGCGGTATCCTTTTGATTTCTAGAGGATTTTTCTCTGATATTTGATTTCAAGAAGATACTCTAAAATAAAAAGAGGAATATCGTCGAGAATTATGCATATATATGTATAATTCTTCATCATAGTCTTGATCATAGTATATACGTCCATTTTTTTATAGATGAACATGTTTATAGAGGAATATGTTTTGTGTAAGATTTTTTGTAAGATTTTTTTCATAGAGGAAATGTTAAGAATTCCCAACTTATAGATAGAATATTTTTTTTGGGTAAACATACATATAAATTGAATCGTTAAAACATACATTCTTACCTTGATATAGGTGCAGAGAGCGTCCCCCTTCGGTTCCCCGTTGCCGTCTTTGTACAATTTGATCTTGTCCTTCCCCCTTTCGTCCCTCGCTATGAGGCCACACTTGGTGAAGAGTTGCGTGAGCTCGTCCATAGTAATGTCCAGAGGTAGGCCGGATACGTAGATAGCGGTGTTGTGCGCCTCGTCGACCTCGAACCAGGTCGGCGGTTCCTGAGCTTTCCGTTTGGCCTCCGCTTTCCTCTGCTCCTTTTCCTCCTTGGCTTTCTGATGGGGCGGCGGCGGCGGCGGCGGCTGTTTCGGCTCCGGTGGTTTCGGCTGGTGAGGCGCATTCGTATCCGTAAAACCGTAGTTCATCTGATACCTGGCCATGAAGTCCTCGTCGACTTTCGGAAACCAGGCGTTCTTCTCGTTGTCCCAGAAGTACACGCTGCCGTCGTTTGGATCCGTGTAAGTGTGCGTGTCGTTTTCGAAGCCGAAAGCATCAGCTGCAGCACCAGCTTCGGGGCCAGCATCTTCTTTCTTCTCCGTCCTGTCGGGGCTCCTCTCACTATCAGCACTTTCATTATCTTCTTTCACAATCCATTTATTAGTCTCTTGATCAAACTTATAGGTAATGTTCGTTGCCTTGTCGGTATATATGTACGTTTGCCCGTCGAATTCATAATTCTTCATAAGATCCTCCTGTTTGCCTGGCTCCTCTGTATTTTCCGTGACTGACGGCACGTCAGCCATCGTCAATGGCTCATTAGATCAGCCTCCGAATGACAGAGCGACCTTGAATACAGACAGAAATTTATTGATACTATTATAACGGCGGCATGAGTATGTATGTACTACATACAACGTAAATACAAACAAAAAATACAAATTTAAAGATTGTACGAATGTACGTTCTTACGAGATAAAATCACGCACTTTCGTTCCGACGTAGCTCATCAATTCTTTTTTAGTCCTTTATCCAACAAATTGGTCGCGGATACTCAAAATATGAGATAAACGCTCCAGAGAAATGAGGTTAGAAACAGGTTAGAAACGTTGGCAATAGAGGAATTCTCGCGCACATACCTGCCAATATTCCTCGCATCAGCGAATTCCACGGCGATAGTTGCACTAATCAACAAATCCGCGAGCTTACGACAATCAACAATGCGACAATGATATATTACACTCTTATCGAGCAATTGATAGAAAAAACCAGCCTACGTGACCGACGCGCGATACACATTAAAGTTCGGAGCAGTTCGGAGTGTTCGGACAATCGGACGCGATTGGAGCAGGTGTCACGTGACATCAGCGCTGTCTATACGTCAAACGCGGTATTAACGTGTAAAAATTTGGAAAAGTATCCGCAGAGAGAAGCATCTCTCTGGTATCCGGAACTTGAGGACAGTTCTCAATTGTAGGTACCTGTCTAAAATATATATGAAACATATCGCGTATCAAAAATATATTATTAAAATAAAATATCGCTACATTCATATTGTCAATAAAATCATGCTATAAAATAATTATTAATTTTTTTTGTATTACATATTACTTATAAATAATATTACAGAAGATGTAATTATAATTAATTAAGTTTGCCACGCGAGCTTATAATATATTTTACGTTAAAGCCCGATAATGCCGTTACTTTGATCTTGAGCTTAAAACTCTCTCTTTCTTTCTCTCAAGGCTTTAGAGAGAGAAAGAAAGAGTTAAGCTTCGTTTGAGGTCAAAATAATAAATGTTGATACAATCGGGTCTAAGAGATGAATATCTTTAAAGTATTACGTAGAATGATAAATGCTCAATTTAATTATTAATAGCGTAAACTGCATAAAATATAAAGTATCGCGCTGCTGTTTTCTAGTTTAGCTGCGATAATGAAGAAATGCAAGAAGAAACCGCGAAACTTTATAATTTATAAACCGCCGACGAAAAACCGCGGCCATTTTCGACGCCCACAAAGAACCGCGCCGTGGCCGATCGCGCTCCTGTTCCTTCTTTTAGCCTTTAAAGAAAGGCAGCGGCCGCGCGTGTTGCCATTAGAAATTGATTTCCAGTTGCTAGGATACGCGGCCGGCTCGAACCGCGCCGCAGCACCAAGCGAGCATGCCTGCTTACCTGGCGGTCAGTCGGCTGCAAGTTGCGCGGCGCAAGGTGCAAGCATGGGCCTGCCGGACATAGAGACCATACCCGGTAAAACGATTTAAAAAAAAAAAAAGAACAGAATAAAAGCACGCACACGCAAAACAGAAGGAAAAAGAGAAATTAAGAGGAAAGAAATCTCTTTTAATTTAAATTTTCACGCACGCACGAATTTGTCACGCACTTGCAAACTCTATAGGCGTATTATATTCTCGATCATCGTTTAACGCCGGCACGGCCGGCGTAATCGATCCCTCGGCGAACAACGGGCACGGCTCCCCCGGCATTATTAAAACCCCCGGTCGACCGTACCCCTTGTTTCGCTCGTGCCGTTGGCGTGAAGAAACGAAAATCGATACGTCTAGCTGCTATCGAGCGATCGCGCGAGTGTGTATAGTCGTGGGATTCACACGAGTTAGTCACTCGATGACAAATGATAATTGAGTTCGTTGGAATTAATCCACCGACGGCGCGCACGCGGGCGGGGGGAGGGGGAGGGTCGCGAAAGTTGTAAATGTATACGCAATTTAAGTTGCCAAGTTTCACGAGCACCTTTTGCACAGCTTATAGAACGAGGAAACATTTCGCAATCGAGTTTTTTTTTTCCTTGCCCACGCGGAGTAGTCCATAACAGCACGCAATCCGTTCGTCAAATAAACTCGCAAAATCTCTTATTTAGCCGGCTCCCTAATCGACGTGGCGTTGAACGTCCTCAATAGCGAGACAGTAGCCAGTTGTGCTTTAGAAGCGTTGTCGGCTACCAGCACAATCCGGTCGTTAATCGGCTAATGCCACCGCGTTGTCGTTCCATGCGAGTCATATATGTGCGTATTCATATCATTAACTTACTGGCCAGCGTTATCGCGCGCTGTTATTGCAATTTCGATAAATGGCTGGGACAAAAAATGTCTTGTCTCCGCTAGACCGCCACTTAATTTCCTCTTATAAACATGTACGCTCGCAGTAACGGTGCATCGCAAAATTAAATTCGATACGTTTATTCGATAGCAAACAGCACGAGAATTAATTCAACGTAAAACGAGAAAATAATTGTTCCCTTTCTAACATTCTTTGACACACAATATTTTTTTATAAACGTAACGTATATGTTGTTCACAATTCTCGTTTTCTCGTAAAAACAAATAAAATTTTATTTTATTTTATTTTTTTAATTGTCTGCAGTTCTTGATATCTCTATTATATTTCTTTAATGCACACACAGTCTCCATGGTGCTTTCGACGTGACCTAGTCCGCTCGCATATTTTGAATGTTTTACATATGAATGAATTGCTATCCGCGTGGAATCGCTATCGACTACCAGATTATGTATACATACATTGCTTTCCCGAGCAATTTGGCGGCTATTAACCGACCTTTGGGTCAATAACCTAAGAAAATATGTGAATTTCTTGAGGACTATCAATCTTTTATAAAGTGGAATACATACTTACTTTTATCCAGATGATTCTTCGCAATGTTTTAAGACCTATAGCGTCATTATATTATTAAATTGACGATGAATTCAATTTGTGATATTATTCCAGCTTCAATTTATGATGGTGTTGTAAATCCGATAATAATCGATGCGCGGTTTATTTAACTGAAAATATAATTAAAATTTACATAAAATTATTATTATTTATGATTCTTGAGATTCTTCTTATAAATCATGAAATTATGACAATAGTGATATAAATAATAATTTAAAAGACATGCAAATTGAGATTTTAAAGATGATATAATACTATATTTAAAAATTACAATGTAATGGTAATATTTAAAAAACTAAGACTTAAAACATGAAAATTTAAGAGTTAAAATAATAATCAAAGTTGAAAATATAAAAGTTTGGAAGTTTTAAAGCTTTACAAAAATTTTTAAAGACTTATGAAAATACTTTTAGAGTCTAAAGTTTGAATATTAGGTACAATTGTACTTTTCATTATAATTTCGCGACGTACTGAAAAAGTCTTTAACACAGAATGATTCGCAATGAGATAGTTCGTGCTGCTGTCCAAATGAAGGACAGATGCGTAATGAATTATGCAAAAGGCCGCCGTTTGAACTTTTGATAAGCAAGACGTAAGCGTAGATCTCGAAGGATTTATCGCCGGTTTTGCGTTATTGACCTTTGCGAAGGGAGGCTGAAATACCACTGTTAATCTCGGGTTGGGACGGCATTAACTGTCTTAACGCCTTTCCGGTCCTTTTTACTTCACGTTGGCTTTTAAACTTAATTTATGCCAAGGTTACGCAGTGATAAAACTTGCACTCAATTGTACTTTTCGTTATCGTACTCAATATATTCTTAATAACACTCCAGCCGTAACGTTTCAGAAAATAAAAAAATCTATAGAAGATTCCGATAATTAGCTCTTTGAGGAAATATTTCTGTATTAATTCCGTTACCTTGAACATAGCATAAATAACGAGCTTTACATTCGACATTTTCTTGTTTTCTGAAAATAACGCTGAAATCTTGAAATCTCTCAAGAGAACTTTAAAGATTACGATTTCTATACATGTATATTACCATCTACGTGATAAATCTGGAAACATTAAATATACTTAACTGTTTAAGTCAGAGATTAAAGATTGCTATAAGCCGTTTTACACGCAAATACGTGCAATATAGATATACTTGCAATGCATAAATTATGTAGCTACGCAAGAGACTAATGTGCAACAATTGCGATCGTGCGTGTTGCAAATATAGTACATTACAATAAATTCTTAGAGATAATGCAATAACAAAGATAATTTCATAATAATGATAATTATTATATACCTTACTCTTACAATAAAAAAATGTGACTTCACACACAAGTACAGATTTTTATTAATAATAGCTCGGAACTTCAAGCACAAATTATTGAATACGGCGTTCTGAAAAGGACTTCACTTATTTCAAGGCAAAAATCTAAATGCGAGATCGATCGGATATCAATCGAAAGATTCACGCGCTTTAAAGATAGGCAGCACGATCCATCTTGCCTTCAATATTTAACGATATATCGATCTTTGCACATTGTAGAGACTGGGGCGGTGTTCACGATCGGCCGTAGCAGATTTGCGGACAACATTGCTTCGCATTTCTTCATACGTAAGGATCCGGTTGTCATTATTGAATGCGGAGATGAGCAGTCCGCCGTTGTTTGTCGTAAGTATTAAACCTGTTCCTTCATAGAGGAATTCATAATAAATCAGTCTATAAAATAGTCGATAATCCAAGTTAATCCGGCATAATCCAGCATAGTCTATAGGGTTTAGTCCTCAATTCATCATCGAAGATATTCGAAATATAAGTCTAGCTTAAGATTTTGATTAAATTCTGATTGGATCCAATTTGAATCATAAGGATACAATACTCTTAGAATCCAGATTGAATAATTGAAATACCCTATTGACTCCAAATAATTCAAATTCAATTTGAAACGGATCTAACTTATTATTAGTGAAAGGAAATGACTCTATAAGAAAGAAACAATACAGGATCTATCTTGCATTATTGAAAGCAAATGACTCTATAAGAAAGAAATACAATACAGGTTAGTTATACCTTTCATTGAATATTGTTAATCAATGTTGCGAAGTGTAGCGTTGACGGTAAACTATGTATTCGTAATAAGCAATGTTTGCGGATAAAATAGGTAATTACTAATAAACAAAGACAAGAACGCTTTCGGTAGAAATCTTTATCTTTTTTTCTCTTTTTTTCTGAATTCAGTTGTAAAATATTACCTAGTTCTTGCTTGTACTTGTACAGTTCGACACATTTATTAATAAAATACATTAAAAATCGAATTACAAATTTTAGTTATTTTGTTTTTGAAATTCATATTACACTTTATAACGCGATACTGTATGATTCTGCGTGATTTACAGCTTCTGTAGCATGCTATGCGAGTATATACAGTTCGGTTGTACTTACATAGGAATATCCACTGTCCAGTAAATCGATATTGAACACACAGCGGTCGGCGTAGCCGACATTGTTATTAGCTTGACGCTTCTCGACGAAACGTGCTGCGTTATTACCTCGCGTATAAAAAAAATATTGCGTTATTATCTCGCGTATAAAAAAAAGTATTGCATCAGTGAAAATGAAAAAGGGGCTGTTAAATGATAATGAAGCTGATGTAACATTATCTAATTATCCCTCATTTATAAGCTAAACGTTAATATTTCATCATTTTTATTCACAATGTAAATTTTATTTCGTCTATTCTTTTATTGTTATTATTCAACAAGATAAAAAACCATTTTTACACATTTCTCCATATAATTTCTCCATAATGTTCTCGTTATGGAATTCACTTGTATATACGCACAGTTGCCATCCGTTTAGTACCGCAATTAAAATTATGTAACTATGTATTTACTGCTCGTGAATTTATATCTTTAGATACTTTTAGATCCTAGATTCCTTGAATACTTCATGTTACATAAATGTTATCTTGATGTTAAGAATAGTTTCTGCGGAATTATGATCTTAGTCTAATACGTGTTCTTCAATCATGCTTGAATTCGCGGTTGTTTCTTTTCTTATTCCAGAAACTGGCAGACTCTTTGTTTTTGGCAGTAACGATTGGGGTCAACTGGGCCTAGGTCACAAAAATCATATCAGCAAGCCGTCGTGTGTAAAAAGTTTGTAGCCACTATTGTGTAACAGCAAGAAATTTAGAATGCTAATAAGATGACTACGTTCTTATACGTTTAATATTAAATATCGTTATTAATTGCCATTCTTTTTTTGCTAATATATTATTTTTTTTAATTAAATTTAATTTTCGAAAATATTGATCTCTTCTAAAACTTTTTTTCATGTAGAACGTGTCGGAAATTTATAATCATTAAATGTCGAAGCTAATTTTGTGCAGAAATCTTCCGTTTAATGTGCTACTACTGATTTTAATAAGGATCCAATGTGTTTCAGTTCTGAAACCGGAAAGAGTCACACATGTGGCATGTGGGAGAGCGCATACTTTAATATGTACAGGTGAGGAGCGAGTAATGCATATATGAGTGTATCGTAAATATACAGAGTGTTCCAAACGTACTTTCTCTCGATAAATGCAAATATGATAAGTACAAAAATCAAAATCTATGGTACTTTTCTCAATACAGAATATATTACGAGGATTTAGGGCGTGAGAAATGAAAAATTAGTTTTCCAAGGAGAACAACAGGTCACGATAACGTCTAAGGTCTGGTTTCACAATTCACGGTTAACTCGATTTAACCGGAGTTCAATTCGTTTTATTTTCTTTATAATACAAAAATTAAAAAGAGATAAACAGTAAGTTAAATCAAGATTAAAGTTATTAATTTTATATTTGTGGATCTAAATGTTAAAATGAAATCGTGATTGATCAAAAAGTGATTTTTAATTATCTCGGAGTTGTCTTAATGCCATTTTGATGTCACAATGACTTTTTGTTCCCGATAATTAGTGTTATATTTGCCGAGGCAATATATCGTAAATACGTGATATCTGGAACACCCCTTATACGTACATCATACGTATGTACGTACATATAGCTGTCATTAGCAGATGCGAGGTATTATAAGCGAGCCATGCCGTTTCTATATGTGGCTTTGCGTGTCATGAACTTCGGCGAATATTTGCCGAGTCATTCAACTTCAAACTTGTTCTCGTTTGAAGGGATCAACTGGATAAGAACTTTCTTAAATGGCACGCCACTTCGCACTAGCTTTCTAAGTAGGAATTCGAGATGTTAATTTCGATCAATCGATTAAAGTCGCTTCAGGCAAATAGCTCGCGAAAATATTCTTATAGCTAATTTTATTGATCTATCTTAATTAATCTCTCTAATCTAATCTTTATGAACGGCAACTCTCTCTCTCTCTGAATTATTTTTTATGATTTGCTGAAAATCCAAGTGGCATTTTTAAGTTAACGGTTCGAACAATTCAAACAAATCGAACGCTTATATTAAAATGTTTTTTTAGGAGCTCAGAAGATCTTCGCATGCGGCAGCAATCAGGAGGGTCAATTGGGTCGAGAAAATTCCGTGATAGGTGACAGCTCCAGTTCTCCAATCTTGGTTTACGATTGCGGACTCGCTGGACCGCGGGTCGTCCAACTCGCAGCGGGATCGCATCATTCAATGGCTCTGACGAGCGACGGCGGGGTTGTCGTCTGGGGAAGCAATCTGGAGGGACAGTTGGGATTACCAGGGATTTCGGGTTTGGTTAAAAAGCCTACAAAGGTCCCCATTCCTGAGCCGGTGAAGGAAATCAGCGCGGGATATTATCATTCAGTTTTCTTGACTGGTAATACGATGCTTAATGACAACACTTACTTTTACGTGACGTAACGGATTATATAACAGCTCAAAGTATACGTGCAAAAAGAAAACAGAAACATATATATTCATGTTTGTCTTCCACAAGACATCTTTTTAATACTCGTTCAGTAGAGACGAAAAGAAAGGAGTAAAATATCTCAAGATGTTGATCCGAGAAAATAAAAATTGAGTTCCAAGAATCTACCCAAGTATTCTGGGACGTCACAGTACACTTTCCACGAGATAAAATCGCTTCCGCTGCGGCACGCTTATAGCAGTTCGCACGAACACAACAGGTCGTAAAATACATTAGTGTGTATGTAATTCGGCGACGTTTCCAGAAAGCGGTCTCGTTTATGTCTGCGGCGAGTCGGAAAGTGGTAAGCTCGGGATTAATGTCAACTTTTCTACACAAGTCGCGCCGAAACAGATGCAATTACCGTCACCGGCGCTTCACGTCGCGTGTGGTGGCCATCACACACTCGTACTAGCAGGTAGGATCGATAGATTTTAATATCGATGTACCTTCAATGCTTTACGACGTGTAGTCGCAAATCTCTCAGCAGCTAGATATTCTGATCTTATAATTATTTTATTTTTTGTATTTTAGAATATTACACACCTTGATAACAAAATTTTCTTAGAACCTTTATATAATTTTTTAAAATTTTATGTAAATTACAGAATTTTCCAAAATTTTTATGTAATTTATAACTTCTTAGAAAATTTTTCAGATTTTTTTATACGAATTAAAACACTTTTTAAAGTGCTGCAAAAGTCTATATTCTTTATAATTCTTCATATGTGAAATATTTTAAAATTTTTTATTCTATAATTTCTAAAGAAAATTAATAAAATTTTAAAAAATTAAAGATATTTTTTTAGAAAACCTCATAAATTTAAAATTCAAATTTTTAAAGAAATTCTCAAAAATATTATGCGATAATGAGATGTTTTTTTCGCCAGGACAATCAAGAATTTTACAAGATTTAGAAATTTACATTGTTCACTTTTTTAGAAAATGGCAATATTTACTGCTCTGGTAGTAACGCCAGTGGACAACTTGGTATGGGCACAAACGTTAACGAGATACATACACCAAAACTTCTTCCGCGCGGGGCTCTTCAAAACGAAAAGATCGTCAAGATCGCTTGCGGTGAAAGTCACAGCGCTATACTTACAGGTAGTTAAAATTCTGCTTTAATCATTGTGTTCTTGAATCTGTAAACCTCTCATTAATAATCGTATTAATTATAAATAACAGAGTCTGGCAAACTTTTCACTTGTGGTGACGGCCGACATGGAAAATTAGGTCTGGAAGAGAACGAAAATAACGTTCATGAAGTAACATTTGCTGCCAAATATCAGGAGCTTTTCATTTCAAATGTAACTTCGTTTGTCCATTTAAATAATTAACTATCACATTTTTATCGCATTCTAATTATTTGTGCACTTTTTGCAGGTTGCTTGTGGGGGATGTCATACGATATTAGTTGGCCGAAGACACGAGATAGATTATCAATCGCAGCGACAACCAGACTCCGTAAATGCAATTATATTATTATACATATATATATGCACTGATTTTTATGATAGATATGAACTATTAATTAATTTTTCATCTTTAATTAATAAAACTTGCTTATGAGTTTTTTGTCAATTTTAGGAGCAGAAAAAAAGTTCTCTACCTCCTTTAAAGCTTCCTGTAAATATGCAGAATGAACATCGAGTAGACAGTACGGAGAAATCGACAGATGAAAAAGATGATTCATATCATCCTGATGAAAGTAGTGAAACATCCAATAATGGCACACAAATAAATTCTTCGCCAAAGGAAGACTCGCTAAAGGAAAACACGGATATTGTTAATAACGAAGAAATTTCATCTTTGGTAAATGACGAAAAAACCGCGAGTCCATCCTCAGAAATTAATCTATCGGAAAACTCTCAGGAAAAAGATCAGATTGATCATGAAGATCATGATACTGAAAATAATACTGAAAGCAAAGAAAATAGTGAAAGTAAAGACATTAATGAAAATAATGAAAATGAAGAAAATAATAAAAATATGGAAATAGCAACGATAGAAGAGCAGGATGTTGAGGAATCATGTGCAGAAAAAGAACTTCCAAGGATAGAGGAGGAAGAGGGAGAGAAGACGACGAATTCTGTACCACCGCCTAAACCACCGAGACTAAAATCCGGAAGTGTCGAAGGTACGAACAATGAAATAGAATCTTCAAAAGAGAACGAAGAGGGTGAACAAGAAAGAGATGACGAAGAGATGACGAATAACAAACAAAATTCAAGTGCAAAGACAGCTGTAAAATCATTATCCGCAATTTCGAAGAAAACTGTGGAAGCTATCGAGAATTCAATAGAAAAAGTCGAGGAGGATGAACGTCCTGAGGAAGTGGAAAAAACGGAGATCGACGGCACGCAGGACGATGCTGATGTGGTGCAATCACCGGCGCCGCGAACAGGTAACACAAGCATTTTTTTCTTTTCAAAAATTAAATAAAAGTTTACCCTGTAAAATACAATTTATTCTTCAAAATCATCTATATTAATTTAAAAATAGTAGAATTCACGAGTAAAAAACTGCACAATCGATTATGGTCTTTTAGCTAAGATGGCGAAGTTATTCAAAGGAAAACGGCAAGAGGTGCAGAATGGAACTAAGACAAGCAGCGCAACGAATCCGAAAGCTAAGGTATACCTGAAACAACTAGAATAAAGAACCAGATCAAGTAACCGAGCAATGTCATAATTTAAAATATCATTTATTCAAAGATTTAATTAGTCTTGAAATTCTTGAGATGTGTTTTGAATTTTACTTAATCATATAATAAAATCTAAATAAATTAATAAATTAAATAAGCAAACAAAACAACAAGAACAACATTTAATAGTATACAATTATTATAAATAAATAGCGCAGATGTTACATAAAATGAAAATTAAAAAAAAAACTGGAACTGTTCGTCGTTTACAAGCAAAGAAAGGTGGAGTCCGCAAAATAATAAAAATTGTCAAAATTTTATCTGTGAAATCTTTATATGTGTCCATGTCTAATAAGAAGGATCTCATAAAAATTTAGATTTCACTGTGGAATCACACGCAGAAAAATGTATTTAATCTAATCTGAGTGTTTGCTCGTACGGAATTTTAAATTGTGACCTAAAAATTGCTCGTTTAGTTAACCTAGTTTTTTTATTCTAATTGCTTGCAAAAATACGAACTGCTCTCTTTTCTATTATTATTCTTTACACGCTGATGAAACAAGAATTCTGTAAAACCTATTTTACAGAGAATATGTTCATATTTTATTATCTATTACTCTTATTATTTTATATTTTATATTTTATAATATATTTGCTACTATATATAAGATTATTATTGAATAATTATTTTCTTTGTATTTCAGTCAAAAACATGCACAATTCTATGATCGAGGAAACTTCGAAGAGACATTACAATTAATTCTATTTTTATAAATATGGGACATATGTTTGTCGTTGGGACCAAAATCTTGTGGAATCGGAAATCAATAATCTATATCAAAAACAATTCTTTATAATTGATCAATGCATTTACATAGAATTAACAGAAATCTTCTACATCCTGTATATCGTATTGATTCCTATCTCACATTTACGCGACGACAAAAATCTTTAATAAAACGGCGTCTATATTAATAATTAATATAGGTATTGTAAATATAAGTTACAGAAATTGATTCCATGTAATCAGAGAGAGAGAGAAAGAGAGAGAGAGAGAGAGAGAGAGAGAGAGAAAGAGAGAGAGATATGCATAAATCGACATGTTATGGCATATAAAGTAGATAACGGCTGAATGTGAAAAATGTACAGTGGTATCTGGATAAACATATTTTATTAAAATCCAATTACAAAATTCCATTTCGGGCAATAACAAGCTTACCTTACAGTGTTTTCATCTTCAGGAATAGAGTACAAGTACTAAAGTGATACATA